CTCTGTTTAAATGTGCTCTAGATCACTCACGTTATCCATTACGCAGTCAGAAATGTCTATGTATTTCACAGTGGTTCTAATAGGTTACAGGTAATGAGAGTTAAGTCGTATACACAGTTAGTGACCTCCCACCTGTGTGGATATTAAACCCTGTTTCCTCCAGACGCTTTTGCTTTGGTACCTTTGGAACCAACAGTAACCCTTCAGACATGGTACCTAGACCCTAGTGTTTCCACTGCAAACAGTCCTCTTAAATGTGGGCGGGGTTGTTGTCACTCACTGCTCTGTCCAGCACTCACTGTATTTCCACCTTTATCAGTTCTCCACAAGAACGAGTGAGGATTAGAATATACAGTTCACATAGTTGGTCGAAATTAAGATATATAAACACTTGGAGCTCCACTCATTACTAAAAGTGTGTGTCATATAAAAACTAAAATGATGGTCAGAGTTGTCACAGTGAAATTTAAGGTGTGCTGATGGATTCACGTCATCAACTCATGCATTGAGGAACATTACAAGTTAACGTTCCACCTTAAAAGTCACCGGCAGTCGGCCCAGTGAATGAAGTTATTTTTTCTCAGACTCCAGCTGCTGTGAGAGGCAGCAACACATCCTTTCATTTTATAGTTACAATTTACTAATAAAACTCTCCACAGTATGAACAGTGGTTACATGAGCCTCAAAACCAGACACAACTCAGCCCTGAGCAGAGTGACCGTCCTCTACTGACCAATCAGACTGCAGCGTTCACAGCTCCACCTTTTAGTAACAGATCTGTGTGCTAGGTACCCCAACAGAGGGGTTAAAAAACAAATGTTGTAAAAATGTGTACTCAGTGTTTTTATGATCATATGCTAAGAATTAAATAAGCAAACAACAAAAAAAGTTATGATAAACTGACATAAAATTCATGTCAGACAAGGGTCAAAACTTATATGTTACTGTGTTGTACTAAACTAAAAGTTTCGAGTGCAAGCTGCTTCCAAAAAAATAATTTAAGTGAGAGAATTGAGGTTTGCTTTAAGTACATTTTGCTGTTACATACTTTTACTCTGGTAAGGTTTTGAATGCAGGACTTTTACTTATTGTTGAGCATTTTCACAGTTTGGCATTAGTACTTCTGCTTCAGTAAAAGACCTGAACACCACTGAAAATTTAGTTTCATGTTTAAATAAGGTTCAGTAATTTCCTATAACAGCTGCTCACTGTAGTTTTTGTCAAACAAACAGAAGGAAACAGTGCATTTCTTGGGGACTACTTTCAGGCGCGGAATAATACCGAGGAGGCTCAGGGTGATGTGGTGAAGTGAAAATGGAAAACAAAAGGTGAGAGACTGACCTGATGTGTGACTTTCTTCATTTTAGGCGATCAAATTGCAAAAAGTGCATCTGATGTTTTTCTGTATATACACATCACTTCTAATGAGGGCAGTCAAACAGCATTACAAACAATCTTTTATTGACTGTTGTGTTAATGACAACACAATCCATACATCAGTGCTCCCTCGCCATTTCTCTATTGACAGGTCCAAAGATTGGTGCAGACAAGTATTGATATGCAAACAGGTGATTGAGGGCATTTCGAGCTCACTGTGGGAGTTCCACAGTGACTGAGATTTATAAAACAGAGACACACACAGCTTTATGAACCTGATAAAAAGAACATGTACGAAGATTTTTATGCATCTGGCAGCAGGGCGTTGTATGTGCACCTGTACACCAGTGTCCAACCACTCATCAAGGACGTGGTGGTTTAAAATCCAGGAGTATTGAACAGTCAGAGCCGGTGTGTTGATTGAAGATATATTTACCTGTACTTAAGTGGTAGCTGGAGCTTTGTTGTAGCTTCCTTTTGATTTATTAAACTCTGATTTCTTTAATTGTTAAGTCCTTTGTTTCACTTACACTAGGCTCCCTTGACTCTTTTTACCAGGTTAAATTTTATCGCTCTCCCCTCATCCCCTGGGCGTAATGTGGACACACAACAATTTCGGGGCTCAAACAGGGTTGAATAAGGAGACTGAGTGTTTGTCTTTGTGTTGATTATTGCCAGTGGCCATCGTGGTCAGTATTAATGCTTGGATGTCCTTCTAGCGTTCATTGAGTGTTCACACAGCTATGTCGGTCTAGATCATGGATGTATTAAGAGACCTGGATACAGCACTGAAGGCAGGACCTAGTTCATTCCTGTGAAAGTTGCTCAGGGGCTGTGACAAGAGTATCTGCGGACAGCAAATTTGTGAATCCTAGGACAGCAAAGGAGTGAAGCACCCTACTCTCCCTATGACTGGCTAGTATCTGTTGCTGGAGTGGTTAGATTTAAGCCTAGTTCACATTACACAATTTTCACCGTGATTTTGACGTCGCAGAGGATCTTGAGAGCCACCTTGGGTTGGAGGTGAGTCGGCAGATAGTCTGCCACGACGAGTCCTCATGTGTGAACANACCGTGATTTTGACGTCGCAGAGGATCTTGAGAGCCACCTTGGGTTGGAGGTGAGTCGGCAGATAGTCTGCCACGACGAGTCCTCATGTGTGAACAAGCAAAAGAGCAAGTCGCCCCCTCGTCTGAAACTGGGACTGGATATCTGGCATGCTAGAAAACTGGAGAAGTCTGACACGACTGACAAAGAGCATCAGCCAATGAGAGGCGGGATACGTCCCACGTCAACACGCAGGAGGACGGAAGAAATGTGAGGAGGACAAGCTGCAGGGTTGCCAGGTCTGCTTATTAGCCGTGACTTTGGGCTTGTTTTTTTATACAGTCGCTTACAAATATAGTAGTAGTCGCAGGTTGCGTTTTTTTGGGCGTGTTTCTAAAGTGGAGTTGCTTATATGAGCTTGGTCTCTAAACGTTGCTTTTCTCTATATATATATCCGTCGCTTCTTTTGGGCTTGTTTCCATAGCCCTGGTTGCTTGTTTCTCTCCCAAGATCCAGCAACACTGACAAGCCGGCAAGCAACAACAACAATGGCGGCGTCCACAGGATCACGGGGAGTGCGTTGTGTTTGGACCCAGGCCCTGGAGGCAGATCTGATTCAACACTGGGAAGAATATCCATGCCATTACCATGCGTCGTCTCCAAGTTTGGTGACGTCACCGCGTTATCTGGGGCTCTGTCGGCGAGGGCTCGGTGGAGAAATCTTGTGGTGTGCACACACAGGTCGTAACACAGTTGGTGAGACTCCCGCTGACAGAAACACACGTCGCCAGGTATGAACACAAAAGATTACGATAGTCTCTGCAACGCAAAATCAGGGTGAAAATTGTGTAATGTGAACTAGGCTTTAGGCAAGAAGAGTGGGACTGGTAATGTTTAGGGTAAGAATATCAGGGTAAGCCAATTGGAAGTAAGGCCGGCCATTCCTTCACTATCCTACGATTTGTAAATTTGCCTGCGAGCAAGTGCTGTTCTGATTCTCCAGTGAGGGAGGCGACTGACCAGCAGCTTGCCAGTTCCACTTCCCGCATACTCAAGGAACATAACGGTCATGAAGGAACTTGTCTCCCGGTGCAACAGTGTGTTTCACTGATGTGTTTATAACAACAATGAAGCTCAATTTACGTCTTCAGTGGGAACCACTGGGCTTGGAGCTGAGAGGCACAGACAGGAAGTCAGAAAGTATTGAGAGACGGACTAAAATGTGACTGGGTTTGGTCACTTTCATCACCTTTGTTCGCCAGCTAGGGCTGCACGATTAATAAAAAAAACAATATAACTAAATCACGAAATCGATTCATACAACTCTGCAATCTCATTCCTAAATGACGACGATTGTCCTGACACGTCATGCTGCATTCATGTGTTGACTTATTTGCTGTGCAACAATCCCAGTTGCTATTAAGTGTTTGCTCTACCAACAGGATCCCCCACCCCCCCGAAGGAAACAAAATATTTTATTTATATTATTTACCTAGTTTATGTGCGCTCATGTTATTGTAGCTCCGAGTGTTTTCCTGTTGCTCGGCTGCGTTTATCTCCCTCCCAGTGCGTCAGCTGTGAGAGACACTCGACTGACACAGGTGACCTCATGTTACCTCTCATTACTTAATTGTAAGTGCAATGACATGTTCCAAACAAGTTTAATTTATTACTGTAATCAGCCTAAAACAAGCCGGCTCAACTCGTGTCTGTGCAGCAGCCCAGAGTTTTAAAAGTGTCGGTGTGTTCAGACCTTTTGTAGCTTAGTTTAGTTTCTCTCCTGTGTTGCTGTTTGTACTCTCAGGTATCTGCCTTTGTTTACTGCGTCATGCTTGCTTTCAGATGGATCAGATTCGTGTTACTTCACCGCAGATGAAAGACAGTATTTCCTGTTTTGGCTGCTTCACAATAAAAGCTACTGAATGGCAAAACAACTTGAGAGTTTTATTGTCAAGAACTTGAAACATTCACTGTTTTACGGTCGCTTAACTCAAGACAAGCGCGTCATATAATGGTCAGTGTGTTAATTATTTTTAAACTGTAACTTCTATATTCAGCAGTATTTAACTTAATCTGTTTGATGTTCTTGATTAAGAGATGAAAAGAGACTTGAGGGTTTTTTTGTTGTTGCTGTTACAAGAGACTTTTGAGTTTAAGTCCAAAACTTAGATGCTAGTCCAGCATTTTGACAACGACCATGTCAGACATGTTTTTCCACTTGAGCATCTAAGAACCAGAAAAAGTCTTTTTGGCCCAAATGGCATCACGATTTGGACACTGGAAATTGCAGTACCACTATGAAAATTGGCTTCAAAGCCCGACTAACTTACTGGAGGCCTTTTTTGTTTTTTGGAGAAACCCTGAGCAGGAATAATGTTCCCTGGTGGAGGTGGGTGTTTCAGGGCTCCTGCCAATGAAGTTTTCATGAATATATGTTTTTGTTGAGAAAATAAGAATCATGTGAGAGAATTGTGATCTCAGTTCTTAGGGGGAAAAATTCATGATTCACATTTTACCTCCTTATATCTTCACAGTAAAGGTAGGACAGGCCCTGGTGGTGCAGTTTAAACTCTCACCCATATAGTTGATGATGAAGCCCTCGCCCTTGCCGAAGACGAGCCCTGCTGGATCGGAGTGGAAGGTGACAGTCAGGTCGGGGGTGGTGGAGGAGAGCTTGAAGGGGCTGCTCCCTCCGACATACCGTCCCAGGATACGAGTGGTGACCTCGTCGCCGTCGGTGATGGTCAACATGTCGCTGTCACTGATGTTCAGCCTGACAACAGAGAGAGAGGGAGAAGTGTATTTAGCCAGTGGTATGAGCTCAGGACAGGTTGTGATGACTCACAGTGCAGTCATCATGTCTGCAGTCGACTGTGTGGGAGACGAGATGACCTCAGAGGCTAAACGCTGCATTCATCCACGGGCGAGGTGTTTAACAGGCTGTAAACATGCCGCCGCGTTTTTATTGCCCCGGCGACGTTTGTTTCACCACACTGGCAGAAGATGATGCAGTTTCTGAAAATTGAATTATCTGTAAATATGATTTGACATAAATCTAGCAAAGGACTGAAGGATGTAATTGGATTAGTGCTCACAGGCAGTGTGGCTAAAGTTGTCAGATCCATTTCAGAGCATAGAATAAAATTATTTATGTGTGGAATGAATAAAAATGAATTTTAAAGGACAGAGCTGGTGATATTTAAACCTTGATTACTGTACTGCTTACATCTCGATATACCTTAACTTACACCTTATCTTTCCTTACTTATTTACAGTACATGATGTGTAATTGAGCTGTAAAACACACTGTGGTGAATTTATATACTTATTATTATTTTGGGGCTGTTGCAGAGTTATTACTTCATTAACTACAATTTTAATACCATTTACAGGACTTTTAAAATGTATGTATTTAAGTAAAATGTGAAGAAATAGTTTCACATTTTGGGAAATGCTTATTTGCTTTCTTGCAAAGAGTTACATGACGAGATTACAGACAGATTATACATGTCCCAATACCCCCCCTCAGACCTACCCCTTGGCCCTACCCCCATATTTGCGCGTTCCTGCAAGGGGTAGGGATGTCCCAATTCCTTTTTGTGTGTAGGGGTAGGAGGCATAACGAGGGGTAGTGGGTATGAAACTAGCCTTCGGAGCGGGGGATTTCACATGCTGACTTGCCAGCGAGGGGTAGACGTCGCCATGGCTACCACCGAGCAAGAGACGGGGGAAAAAGTTCATACAAAGCTAACGTTACCGTCGTCAGGTTGCTTGTTAGCTAGCTAGCTAGCTCGCACTATCTGGCGTCTGTCATCTGTCCTGTTCTGCAAAACTGTCAGACTTTTCACGTTACGATAACACGCCAGCTAGTATAACTATGTTGCCTCGTAATATTAGCTGGTTAGCTCGCTAGCTCGCTAGCAGAAGTCCCCTGTCATCTGTCATTCATCAAACGAAGCATGATGAATACAGCAAACGCGATAGGTAGGATGAACTCAACTGGAGACTCCATTGTAGATGCCGATTGGAAATGTAGATGGCTTCCAGCTTCCTGTTTAAAATAGTTAGAACGTAACCGATGTGGTGACGTAGTGAGGGGTGTCCCAATTCCTAGGGAAAGATTTCAAACCCTACCCCTCGTTGCTTCATTTCAAGGGCCAAGGGGTAGTGGGCAATGGATAGGGGTAGGGCCAAGAGCTAAGGGGTAGTGGACAAGGGGGGGTATTGGGATTGGGCCTAACAGCTACCACTCCGATCTCTATACGCTAAGTATTAAGCTACAGCCAGCAGCCAGTTAGCTTAGCTTAGCATAAAGACTGGAAACAAGGGGAACTACGCAAATGGCAAAAAAAAAAAAAAGTTAGCCACGTACATTTCTCCAAACCACGGATACGCTACATTTGCACGTAATTGTGTAGCAGATACGCTGAAACTTTACATTTCAACAACACTAGTTATGTGTGGTTAGGTTAGGCACAAACCACTTGGTTATGGTTTGGGCTTGTTTTGGCTTAAAATACCAGGTTTTGAGGGCACAATCCTGTCGAGAAACATGGTGTTGTGTCAGTAAAAAGACAACTGGTTTTTGTGGCACTATCCTGGCAGGAAAATAGCGATGGGTTGCTAAATAACGCCCAAATCTGGGGACTGAAAGGAAAACAGCAGTGACTCACTAAAACACAACCGGTTTTGTTGTTTGTTGGTCTTGAATAGTGGTCTGCAGCCGAGGTCACACACCATCCATCACTTTAGAAATGTTGATATGATACGTAAGAAACATCCAGTAACTCTAAAGGCTCATTAAAACTCCCTTTACGTACGAAAATAGGTTGTCTGTATCAAATGTTGTAAATGTCACTGCCCTCATACCGCCATGCTTCCTTTATGTTGGCATAGATACAGCCAACAGGTGGCAGTAGAGGGCAGAGTCAAAAGTTTCACATGATATCAATGGTAGAACAGAGACAGCGCTGTAGACGGCAGTGGACTGTACATCTCTATACACACATCACAACACGTGGACGGTTAATTCTTTTCCCTGTGTCACCAATTTGTTAAATCCTGCCATTATTTAAATGTCTTTGTTCTCTCGTCTCGTAACTTGCTTGAACTGCGCTACACTGCCTCCTGAATCTCCGCTAGCACTGCTCCATTTCCTCTGTATCTGTATCTGTTTTTTTTCATCCATTCAAAAAAAATTGTAACAACGATGAGTTACAGAAATAATTTAATCATACAGCTCTTGAAGACTGTTACTGACCATGTTAATCCAATTCTGAGACTTTTCAGGACACAAACAGCAGTCTCCTGGGTCAAAGTCCTGTGTTTGTTTGACACATCCCTCCATTCCAACCTTTTTTAACAACCTACCTTAATCTGAATGTCTATAGACACATGACTGTAATGTTTCTTGTTGTTACAGCCAGACTTAGATCTGTTTTCAAGGATGTTTTGGCTGCATAACGTCTGCCAATAGATTCATCTTCTCAGCCAAATGATATGTCACAAATTCTGCTTTTGACGTAACATAGCCCAGATCTGGTCCACTTTATTTCAGACAACAAAATCTTGCACACGACAGCACTGAGAGGTCTTTATTGGGTCCGTTTTGATCTGTCATGATCTGTCTTTGCATTGACAACCAATACAAGCCACAGCTGAATTAAAAATCCTCTGTCGGTTTTGCGAGGCCTCAAATGAATTGTCTCCATCCTCCATCTCCGCTCTCTTCCTTCATGCTGGTTATTTAACAGTTTCTAAATGTAACTACATTATTTTAAGGGGCAGAGCCTTTGCTCATCATCTTTGGAATAAACTCCCACTGGAAATTGAGGAGGCAGCGCTGATATTTCCTCTTAATTTCTATACACTTTTGATAAGAAGCACTCAGACATACGCCGTCAGAATAATTCAAAAGCTGCTTGACTGAAATAAAACTTCACATATTGGCTTTAAATTTAGTATTCGCATGGAAGTTTCTGAGACATGAATGTGAGAGGAGAGACAATACAATCCAACAGCATTGCAGAGTCAGCCACAGCGGCCAGTAAAAGAGAAAGAGTCAAGACGAGGGCACAACAGCTGGGTGAAAACTGCAGCAGCAGTCTTATCAGCACGCTCTCTCAAGTTGTCAAGTTTTGGAATTTAATGGTTCAGTGTGAGCAGGGAGAGAGAAATATCAATAGATGGGGTGCTGGACCCCTCACTGAGCCTCCACATGCATTTTTAATGATAACATTGGGCTCTCTGTGGAGCCAAAACTTTGGATCAAAAGTTCTGGTGTTTACGAGTCAGTGTTGGTGTATTTCTCACAGTTGTACATCGAGCAGCACCCGTTTGTCCTCCCCGACGTGTATCCTCCAGCTGCAGTCCTCTCCCTCTCCGTACCACTCCGGCCAGTTTGGAGAGAGGATCACCCCGCCGGGACCGGTCAGGTCACCTCCACACTGTGCTGCAGAGAGAGAGGACGAGGACAGAGTTAAAGTCAGATAGCAGCCAGTTAGCTGAGAGGATTAAACAAACAAGATATAACATGTTAATCAGCGAGCCTCAGAGGTTTTATAGATTGATTGTGTTACCTTAAAGTCGAGCTGTTATTAAACGTACGTCAGAGAGTGATATCAATCTGAACATTTAACTCTCTGCAAGAAAGCGAATAAGACTAATTCCCAAAATGTTGATTTTTTTTGGGAGATTGCAGCTCTCAAAGCATCAAACACACTGGAAAACAGCATCAGGCCTCATGCAAGGGAACAGATTAGTTTTCTGGATTCACAAGTGGTCCAGACCTGCTGTATGAATCATGTGCATATTCTGTTGGACTTAAAAGTCCACTGTTTGGGAGTTAGGGGGATATATAATATAATAACATATATAATATAATAACAATGTTTTCTATAGTGTGTTATAGCCTGAAAATAAGAATCATTGTGTTTTTGTTATCTTAGAATGAGCCACTCGCTTCAGCCACCACAGTTCTCCAACAGACTTTTCAGTTGTTATTACCTGACACACTCAGGCCTCCGTAGACAATATGTGGAACGTTTGATACCCAGTTTCTGTCCCCCTACGTTCACCTTTGGGGTTATCCTACCTATGAAGGGGTGTCTCCTGCCTTACCTCTCCCCTTTTGCTGTTGTGTTCCATGGGAGAGGTAAGTGACATTGCTCTCATAGTAACTTCTGTGTTTTAATGCTGTTAAGCTATGATTATAAGTTCATCTTATGCTAACATATTCCTGTGTCACTTAATTTGTGTAGTTAATTTGGTTTTTGTTTTTACCTCTTGCTGTCAGGTATGTTTTCTGTGTTTTCTTATGCTTAACTGAATGTAACATGGCAGCCCTTTTGTTGTTGTAATCCATTGGAAGGGGGCTTGAGTTATATGGTCATAATTGACGGCGTTTTTTGTTTCTTGCTGTCAGTTGTCAGGAATAAACGGAGATCACCTCCAAAGATATTCACGGTCTGGGCCTCTTCATATCTACACTAGAGTCCACCGGTTACATATGGATAAGTACCTCATACAACCCTGTGGTGGTACTGATTCCCCAGATTTCAGCAGGTTGGGATGAAGTGTGAGAAGCAGTTCCCATCCACATAATAAAAAAATATATTCACTTGTAGAAACAGGTCTTATGAAAGCCTTTACAATGAAGATGTCACCACAGCAATAATGTTTAAACGAACCAACGTGTTTATATATGGGGTAGGGGTTATGTTGGGTCTTAATGAAATAAAACAATAAATAAAATCACTATATAAGATCTGCGTCAAGTTATTGTTATGTAAGCGAAACTCTTGCACGAAGGCGACATAGTGTAAAGGGATTCTTTAATACAGTGGTTCCCATATGGTGGGTCCTTGTGCAAAAGTGGGTCCCGACTCCATTCTGAGTGGACCACGGTTTGACAAACCTGACTTGCAAACGTGTCAAGTTTGTAAAAAGCACACTTTATTTTGAAGTACAGTGAATTTCTGGCACAGAGCTTTTAGTTTAAAGTTCCATTTCCTGCTGTAGAGTGAGTGACTAACAGACAGCTACATGACAGAAACAGCAAACTAGACCACTGACATGGCCAGACGCACATATGATGCTGCATACATTAAACACTGTGGACCTTGAACTCATGACTGAGGAGTAATCGTAACCCTGTGGCTGGACCAGTTGGGAAACACTGCTTTAATATTCCCTCTACTTTGTTTTTAAGATGCACAAAATCATCGTCAAACACCACAGCAGAAGGCAGCACTGTTTTCTCAAATGCGCCTAGAGACCAGAGTGCCTGGCTGACAGTGTTTGCTAACACAAGGTTAGCATTCGATTGAGGAAGGGTCACAATGTCCTGGGTGCATTTCCTCAGCTCTCTTAAGCCTTATTGAAGAGTGTCGTAACACCCTGATTGGCCCAGAGGGGAAATGCACCAAGCTGCTCTCCATTCTTAATTCGTCAGTGCCTACACCTTGCACAACAGGTGACCTGAATTACCCTTAAAGCAACTCCTGAGAACTGTGACATCCAGCCAATAAAGGGATTTGAGAGCAGGTACCACACACTGAGGGACAGCTAAAACCTCACTTCAAAAGAGCCAAACTATGCCTTTAAGTAAAAGTACAAAAGAATTAGAAACAAAAGCTGAAACTAAAAGTTTTAATCATGCAGAATGGCCCGTTTCAGAATAAAATCTAATACATGTTTTTATCAGAATTGCTGATGCATTGAAGTGTTCATGGGGCAGCACGGTGGTGCAGTGATTAGCATTGTCAGCTCACAGCAAGAGGGTGAATGTGAGCATGAATGGTTGTCTGTCTCTATGTGTCAGCCCTGTGATAGTCTGGTGACCTGTCCAGGGTGAACTCTGCTTCTCACCCAGTGTCACCAACAGGAAAAGTGGTTTACGGAAAATGGATGACTAAAGTGTTCATCATTTTAATGTTACAGCTGGTTATGGTGGAGCTCATTTTTAGGACTTCATATACTGCTGGGGAGTTTAATCTGTAGTAGTCCATCATCATTAAATAGTTAAGTTACTGTACAGTAACTGAGGTTATCAAATAAAAAAGTACAATATTTCCCTCTGAGGTGTGATGGAGTAGAGTGCATGTAGTTTTTATCCTTCAAGACGGCTCTTGAATGAAACTTGAAACAGAGCAAAAGAGGAAGCCTTACACAGCAAGTTGCTCACATGTTATGAACATGACGCCTTCATCAAGTCAAAACAAGTGATTTACGACAAGTTTGTGCAGTTTGCTGATTCTTATATGGAATTTTTGTACAAGTGAACTTCATCGGTGCTAGTGAGCCGTCTGAAGGTGTTGTGGGCCTATCACTGAAACACCAGTGAAGAAGAGGACACAGCTGATGACCCCAGTGAAGATTTTACCCTCCTTAAACCCCCATCCATGGCTCCAACCTTCACTCACAATTGCAAGTAGGTCAAGAACACCCATCCACTTTCATCCGCTTATCGGGGGCCAGGTCGTGGGGGCAGCAGGCCAGGCAAAGCATCCCAGATGTCGCTCTCCCCAGCAATGCTTTCCAGCTCCTCCTGGGGGATCTTGGGATGTTCCCAGGCCAGATATGTAATCCCTCCAGCTTGTTCTGGGTCTACCCCAGGGCAGAGGGGTTTGCGTGTCCCCGTGATCCTGGGAGCTGTGTTGTCCAGGACTAATAGCCCCTGGGTCTTCCAAGGCAAAACAGTCCCAAGGGGAAGGGGCCAGACTAAGATTGAGTCGAGAAGACCTTGATGAAACTGCATATTCAGACATCAAGCACCTCGACCAGTATGGGGACACTGGGGCCCAACCCTATAGCCAGATCTCACCAGTGAGCATCTAGTGGCCAGGCCTTGGGCCATGGGGCCCGGTCGTCTCAGCCCAAGTAGATAACATGGAGCCTTCGCCCTGTAGGCCCACCACCTACAGCGACAGAATTCAGGGTTCGGTGCACTGTGTGCTGGGCGGCAGGCATGGGTGGGGCGGGGCCTTGGTTGTGCTGATCCCTGGCATTGCCGACTGGCTCATCAACCAGTTAAACTCCACCTTGATCAAAGTTAGGTATGTTTTTCTCCTGTTAGGTTCTCCTCTTAGGGGGAGGTGGAGTGTTCGGCCCGGTCCAGCGAGGAAAGTTCAGTCTGCACAGACGTCTCTCCTTGGCTCTGCCTTCCCTGTGCTTCATCTTACTTTCTTCCTACCTATGTTCGTTCCTACTTTTCTATCCATCTAACCTTAACCCTTTGGCTCCCACTCATAAACCCCCAGACAGCGCTATCACTCCCACTCATTGTCTCAAGTATGTGCATCAAGGGATTTTAACATCTAGTCCTGAACTGAACTCACAGAAATAAAATAAGAGAGGTTTCAGATAAAACTCTGACAGTGTTGTTGTCTTCCTGCTCTCAGTGTTACCTTTGCACAGCGGCTCTGTGTCATTCCAGTATGGATCCCTCGCACTGATGCACTCGATGACAGGTGGGCCTTGTTCCAGAGCGTGACCCGGGTCACATGTGAACTGGACCACAGCTCCGACACTGTACAGAGGGTCAGAGGTGGTGAAGTTTCCGTTCTGCAGGTACGGCTCGTAGCAGTGGCCACGCTCGAACGCTGGAGGAGAGAAAATGCAAATGAATATCAGAATGTGTCTTATTAAACTCACACCATGCAGCTCTCTGAATATGAAATTCTTTTCTCTTCCTCATTGTGATACCTCTGTGTCATTACCAAAATCAGACGCCAAGATTATTTGGTAGCATCTCCCCCAAATAACTGTAATCACACATTGTCCATAAATCTTGTTTGGACTCGCAGAGATGATTCTTTGGTTTCTTTCTCTCTTCCCTGATGAGGATAAACATGTTGGACAGGATCTTTCCATCCCTCAACAATCAGCCAGAAACTGAAAGCTTTAGCTCAGATTATGTTGGACGACCGGCCCACTTCACAGCGATCCAGCCAAAATCGACTTGGCAGTGTAGGATGTAAGCAGGAACACAGAGCCTTGCAATCCGCTCTGATTTGTTTACATAATTACACTGTAATTATAGAAATAAAACAATACATCTTTGAAACTGTGCTGCCGGTATTTTTAGATGTACAGTAGCTTCTGTACCTTCGTAGCGGATGTTGAATCCCGTGTTGTGGTTGGGCTGATCGGTGATGAACTGGATCCTCACAGCTGGTCCTTCACTGATCACTCCCTCAAAGGGTATCTGTCCGCCCCGCCCCGAGTCGAACAGCACCACGGAGCCGGCATCCAGCCCGCTCCACAGCACCAGCCTGCAGTGAGGAAACACTGTGTGCATGAGTGGCTGTGAGAGTGACAGAATTAAGGTATTCGTAGTTTACATGAGTCTTTTCTTTTCTTCGGTTACTTTACAAAGCAAGCCCATCTGTATATCAGTCAGTCATACATGTCACCTTGAATTCATGATGACAACTTTGTTTTTCTTAAGCCCAGTTCAGGCTAAAGATTCTTGTCGAGTCGAGATGAAACAGACAACTAGTTGCACATTTGCTGTTCTGCAACATTTTAAAAACCTGCTGTTTCACACCAGTGCAACTAGATGAGACGGTGTATCATCTCTAGTCAACAACTCTCTGTACTTCTGTTCTGATTTGCAGCTTTTCAGGTTTATTTAAGATAAGATAAAACCTTTATTGTCTGTCACAAGTAACAGAAATTCGTCTTTGGCAAGCTCCGAAATAAAATAGACAAGAACACACAAAACACAATAGACATTATACAAGATATGCAACAAAGCAGTGTATCTGGATGGGACTTCAGTTGTTATTTTAAACTGTTCAGGGTGGTGATGGCAATGGGAACAAAAGTTTTTTGTATGTATTCTTCCGGGAAAGTGGGACTTTGTAATGGCGACCTGATGGTAGTAGTTGGAAGGATGGGTGCAGGGGGTGGGTGGGGTCCTGTGTGGTGGCGGTGGCTTTCCTGGTAGCTGCTTTTGTGGCTGAATATAATTTGTAGCTTCTTAAATATGAATGAGGATAGCGACAGTGAGACACTGGCTACAGCTGCATTTGTAGTAGTGATGAAACAGCGAAAAACGAACAAAGCGAGCATCAGATGGACTGTATTTATAATAAATACGCCACAATAATATAAATAACCAGCGCCAATTAATCCGTCGATGAGAATGTGAGTGTGGGCAGGGCATGAGCACATACAGCGAGCAGCAGCAGTGACCCACCGTCCGACACCGGCACACAGTGAGGACAGAAACAGAGGGCTCAGCAGGGACGGAGCACCTGCCGCAGCAAGCCAACACACCATCTGCTGTTATTTTGACTTGACCAGCTGACTTCGCTACAAGCTGATTGGCTGCTGAAACAGGTGACGTCCTCTACTAAAACCAGCATTTTGACCAGCTGAGTTGCAGGTGACACCATCAGCTGGGTTGAGTCGAGCTCAGACGGACCAGTTCACACTGCTGCAACTTTTCTCTGCAACGTTCTAAAACGGTTTTGTCATGTTGCAAATTTTTGGTCTGAACTGGCCTCCATGGAAAATGGCGATCGTATTGATTTGTTGATTGATTGGGGACCATGTTTAACAAACAGCAAAAGTACATCGCAACATTTGTTATTTCCCAAACACATGCATTTTCAATAAAAACCCTTGTTATTGAAAAGATCAGCTCAGTTTTAAATAATTAAGTTTTCAACAAAAATGCATGTGTTTGTGAAGTACTGAGCATATGACGAGACAAATGAGACTTGGATTATACTGCAAGAGTCGTGTGAGAGTTTGTAAACAGATGTTTTGATACAGTTTTGCTGATGTTAAACGTGTTCCCCAATCAATAAATTACTCAATATGATCGCCATCTTCTGTGGAGGCATGTAAGTAGAGGTTTTCTTCATGATTTCATGATAACACAGCACTAACTGATTTACAAATGGTCATTTTGTGTGTTTGGACTGTTGGTTGGCAAGAAACAAACACTGTGAAGGCGTCACTTTGGGCTCTGGGTCATTGTGACACCATTTCTCACTATTTTCACTATCTTTTCAATCCAAACAATCAATTGATTAATGGAGAAAATAATCAGCAGATTAATCCATAATGAAAACAAGGGCGTAGGTTTGCATATGGACAGCAGGGTCATGTCCCTACCAATATTTGAGAAAACGTGTTAACTGCCTATGGAGTGGAGTAATATTTAATAACTCTAATGTGCCCTCACAGAGACTATACGTCTCCAAAATATCCAATTAAGTCATGCTAGGATTTGATTGCCTGGAGAGGAAGGGGCTTCTTGAAGGCTCACACCATGTGCAAATATCATACGTACTGCCAGACACAGAGGAGACAAGAGCTGATCAGTGTGATGGGCTAAAACTTTGTCTTTCAGATGACTCACTTCCTCTCCTCTGGTGCCCGCAGTGCACAGCACACACACTGTAATTTTGTCCATGTCAACACATTTTATACTTGGTGCATATCAAGCCAACAGAAAAGATAAAGGGATATCAGGAGCTTATTCACCACCCAGAGCATGAGTAATAGACTGAACTGCACTGTTTGTATGTACACCTACGAAAGTACTGCACCAGAATTCATTTATAACCCATGTAATCATGAAGGCTGCGATCACATGATGAATACCCTCATGGGAGTTCAGAAGTAACTAGGATAAGACTTTTCCCCAGGAGACTGGTGTTCATGTCACGTCATCACATCGGGAACTGCCCATTGGTCCGAAAACCCATTGTTCCGACCATATTAAACTCATTGTTCCGAAGTCCGTTCTGAAATCATCATGATGCCTGTGGTTAAGGTCTGGTTAGGTTTAGGCACAAAAACCACTTGGTTAGGGTCAGGAAAAGATCATGGTGTGGGTTAAAATGAAAAAGAAAGTGACAAACACATCAGCTGTGAGCCTGCTCCGCCTCAAGCCTTTCCCAGCTGACCCAGAGCCGGTAACGGCGCACCATCAAGGTAGAAATACGCCCGCCAGGAGCCGTTCAGCACCGTGGAAAGTCGGACTAATGGGATGTCGGACCAATGGGCTGTCGGACCAATGACATGGACCCATCACATCGTCATGTGACGTTAAGTACGTAACTTTACATTATGTGGGTAACATGATGATGCCCAACCATATTTCTTTTCCTGAACTTAATCTATGTACCACCAGTGTCCCTCACAATGTTGAGACCAAAGCTACGCCCTCAATGAAAATACTCGTTAGGTCAATAGTCGAGCTAAGCTCATAGTTAGGCTAATCAGTCAAATCGGACTTCTCGTCTTGTCTGAGTACATGCAGAAGAGAAAATCGAATTTCTGACCAAGTACGTCTGAGTCCACCTCGACTGGCGGCACTGTGTCCTTTTTAATATAGTGCGTATTGAACTAGTTCCGGTTGACCTGAAGAGGAAGCTAACTAGCTAGCTGTCGGAGCATGAATGTAGTGCGTCTTCTGCTTCTCAGTCGCCATTTTGTTTGTTTTTCTAGGAGTTACTGCACTGCTGCTAAGTCATCTCCTTCTTCTTCTGCGTGAAAGCCCTCTAAAGAAAAAGTGGTACATGCGGAGAAAGCCGAGTTCGACTCCAGTAGGACTAAGTGGATACATGCAGCAATAGTTCGATTTTCAATTGAATTATCAAGCTGTGTTAGTCGAGCTAAGAATAGTCCAGTTTCAGTCGGACTAAGCCAATAATTCGATTTTCTCAAGCTGCATGTAAACGTACTGACTGAGTCGGGCCCTCCTACCTGTCAGTGGGTCCCAGAGCCAGTCTCTCCAGGTGGAGGTGCAGCCTCTGGTCCTTGGGAGCCTCCAGGGACCAGGAACAGGAGCGGTCCTGTGTGGCGTTGGGCCCGTGGTGGGGAGAAGGGGACAGCACCCGTCCTACTGTGGCGTTCTTCACTGTGCCTCCACAAAGAGCTACAGAGGAAGTTCAGCGTGATCAGTCATAGAGTGTATGCACAGCACATTTATGTAATTTTGTTTATTCCATGTTTATTCCAACACTTTGTAATGCTGCTTTGAAAGCTGCTTCATGAACAAGGTTAATTCACTTTTTGTATCATATTAAAAAAGTAATAATGAATGCAGTATTCTGTATCTTGGTGAACTAACACGAAAACATGTTGGGGACTAAAAATAAATTTGTACAAATCATGCTCTCACTTTACTCTGCTGAGCAGCAGCACTGGTATCTATCAAACATTTTAAATTGTGAAAACACTGGTGGTCCGTTCTGGTGCCACGCAGAGTCAACAGTCTGCAGGATCTCATTCCAACTGCAGAGTGAATAAACTCAGTGAAATATTTGTCTTGAATAAAAACCTGCAGACCAGTTGGACCGTCTTCACACTCACCCCTGCAGCTGGGCACCTTGCCGCTCCACACCGGCAGCGAGGCGTTGAGGCAGGTGAGCATCGACTCCCCCTCCAGGTGGTAACCCATGTGGCAGTGAAAGCGGGCGGTGCCTCCGGGGAGCAGGTCCAGCACGGACACCTCCCCGAAGTGAGGCCTCTTTGGCAGTGAGCAGCTCAGCCTGAAGACTTCACAGAGAGAGAGAGAGAGAGAGAGAGAAAAATCAGGGAGGAAGTTCATCAGTGTTTTATGGTATTGTTACAATAACAACCACTGGTATTTCTACTACTGCTGCTTCTACTTCTGCAGTTAATACTAAATACAACTGTAACTACCACAGCTGCAGTTTGCAGAACACATCAGAAGAGTTTAAAAGGCATTACAGGATAAAAGGACAGGAAGTATTACCCTGTCATGGCAAGAGTTTATTCCAGTCAGTCACAAGGCTAAGGCCCCGTGTCCTCCAAAGCGTTTCTTCCCAGCTGAAAACCCCAGGTGCTTCTTAGGAAACTCTTCAGAGCACTTTGGAGGTGCAGCATTTTTTTCAGCTGAGATGCTTTGGTGTGTCTGGTTACTATTATACAGAATATCTGCAGTAGTAAAAATGTTGGAGTGAAGTAGAGTGCTTGCTCTGGATGAAGGGAAGGCTAAAGCACATAAAGCCCAGTACCTGCGGTTATTCCACAGGCTAGTTAATAACATGTAGGGCAGGAAATCCAAAGTGTGGGATCATTTTGAGAAGGTGAAGGAAGAACCCAAGGTGATATGTAAACTCATCTTCATAGGTCGACAACAAACATGACGTATCATATGAAACATGGAAGTAGCTACATGCCCATTAGCCCACAGCGTCATTAACAGGAAGCTCGCTCAGTGTGTGACGTGCACTTGTAGATAAAATATAGGCCTATATTAATGAAGATTCATTAGTACGGTTTTGTATTTCTCTGTAATGTAGCACAGTGTTAACAATGTTACTGATACTATTCTTTCTCACACCTTCAACACAAACCACCAAAATATATCATTTAATAATTACATTAATATGGTAAGCATGTGGGCGACTAGTCGACCTAAATGACGACTATTGGTCGACTAGGAAAATTCTTAGTCGGGGGCAGCCCTTGTTTGACCAAGCGGCAACCTCCAGGGCTGAAGCCAACACTGAAGTGCCAAAAACTGCAGTTCCTCTAATGGCTACTTGAAGCTGGCTCCAGAAGCTAGTCATTCCCCATTGACCTCCATGTTAAAATACCCAACTGTACAGTAGAAATAAACATGTTTACAGTCTTATACAAGAGACAATTTTGTTCTCTGTAGCTAATTTCCCTGTTTATGACAACTGTACAGGGGGTGAATTTTAATATAACTCACCCGTTAACATTTTATTAAAGTAGCTGTGCGGAACTTTTTACCATTTATAAAACTGTCCCTAGTTTGTATCACCTCCCCTTGAAGATCCGTATATTTATTTGAACCCAACAGTGACAAAAAGCCTTTCTCTATATGGCTATTTAGCGTAGCCTCGCGCGGGTCGGACGGACAGCGGAAGTCACCAAACCAGAATACGGCACCCGGAGGTGGAAGTAAGTCTGCACGCCCGCAGCGGCCCGCAGCCATTAAACCACAGAAGAAGAAGGAGCAGTGTTTACGAGTAGGATTTAAGAAACAGGCTAAATGACATGATGTTGCACACTCTTGTACAGTAGGTGGTGGTATGCACCTGGAAGTTGTTTGTGATCCGCCAATAAATTGAGAGAAGAAGAAGGAGCCGTGTTTACACAGAGTGTTCGTTGAGTAAGCGGTACGCAACAGGCATTGCTGAACACATAACAGTTTTACCAGAGATGTATCTAAAAGGACTTGGTTGTACTTTCGATGTCATGGCGGATAAAGAAGGAGCACCATCTAAAAGAAAAAGAACAGAAGAACAGAAGAACAGAAGAACAGAAGAAGACTAAACGGGACAGTGACAGGGCTCGAGCCCAGACGCGTGTAAACCTCGGTCGGGCATTCACCAAGTGGAGAGAGCTGAGAGATTTGAAAGGTTTTAAAACTGATCCCAAGTTGGCCCTTTTCCTAATCGACAGGTATATCATATTTGTTTTTATTTAGACTATTAGGTCAATAGCTTTCTTTAACTTGATGCTAAGCTAAAGCCTTTATGCCGTCGAGAGTTCCTTTACGTGCTTCAAGTTTTGTTTGTTATTGCACTTACTTGGTTTGTTGAAATTGATTGTAGTCTGTCCGGTTGGTTATGTGTGGATTGTGTGAGCGTGTGCATGTGTTGGCTCTGAGCTCTAACATGCATCAAATAAATCAAATGAACTAAAAAGTACAAATAAACAAACATACGCTAATATCACTCGATCGATTGATATCCAAAAAATAGCGTTCAATATTGTGTCAGTAAGTGTCGAGTATCAAAACAAAACGGAGCAGAGCAGAGCAGAGCAGTAAAAGACTGTGTGCTCTCTCAGCATTCACTGTTTGTTGCACACCTGCATGCAACTAGTCACCTGATTATAAAGGCCTTTCGTTAATACCACTGGTCAACACCAGATGGTGACATTTCTCATGTATTTAAATGAGTAACTAAAAATGGCTCCAACATAGACAATATACCGCAACTTGTTAGACGTTGTTTCACTTCAATATATGACGACATAGAAGTTATAAGCAAGCTAAATGTAAAATTAGCTGATGTGAACCACTTTTGTCTAATAAAATTACAACAAACGCCACAAAATTATCTGTGACTGTGACCATGAACACAAATATAGCAGGCAGATGTCCTCAGTTTATAAGAAATTCAGAGCTACACCAGAACATTTATGATTTTCCTCTCGCTTTTCAAAACAAAAGCATGCGGTAATTGCCGGTTGCAGTCGAGATTTTACAAATGAAGCCAAATGCCGGCTGCAGTCGGAATTTTACAACACCAGGCTGTGGGTGTCATATCGCTTCAACCAAAGGGGGCGCTATAATCAACGAAAACGTAAAGTTCCGCACAGCTGCTTTAAGGCTTAAAGATACGCATCATTAGGTTTCAGTGACAGGCTGTCTGCCGATAGTGTCCTCGGCTCCTCCACAGCTCCACCCTCTTACCCAAATACGGTCACTTGTGGCGCCAAAAAAACACAACCAATGACAAATTCAAGGCTTCAAAACGGGAGTCTATGATTTTGAGACTAAAAAATATGCTCTTTGACCAAAATTTAAATACATAAGGAACACTACTGGGAGGCTACAGACTGAAAAAAAGAATGAAATAATGGAGCCACCCTTTAATTAATTAAGTCAGCTGTAAAATGTTTGTAAATTAGCACTTTAGGTCAATGTTTCTGTTTCCACTCTATTTGGAGGATCACTTGAGAAATCACACACTCACGGGTGAATTTTAATTAAATAATCATAATTAAATGAGCTTTGTAAGCTGTAAGTGATAATATTCCTGCTCTGTTTGTGTTGTTTTTATTCCCTAAACACTGTTTTTCATGCCTCATCTTGAGCATATCTCTGTCTGCGGAGGCATTTTAATCTTAGTCGCTGAGACTCTGTGCTGTTCCCCTACCTGCCGCTGATGTAAGAGGATTAGATGGCTGTGATTAATGGCACAGGTGGGTCTTAACACTCTGATGCTTCCTCCTTTCCAGTCCTTGTCATATCCATTATGGGCTGGCACAGCCAAACACACATATACAGAAACATACACACCACACACACGCTCTATACAAACTCCCATATCCTCAGCCTCCTAATGAGACGAGAGCCAATTAATCAGAGCTCTCATCAGCTAATTCACACGACAGATTCAATCACCGTGCTAAGTGATTAGACGAGAAGTTTTTTGATGATGCAATTAGCATGTATACAGGGTACAAACACCCCCCCAGGCGCTAATGAAGAATTCACATCTATTGAATTTGTATAGGGTGTTAAATATATATATATGAATATTTAAATTTGTGTCCACACTCACTCTGATAGTGCAGCTGGAAGATGCCCATGCTCGCCTCCGGTGCAGAGCGGTAGTAGACGGACAGAGTGTTGGTGGGACTGCGGATCACCTGACCTTCAACCAGCAGCGTGTGATTGGCCAGGACCAGAAGGGCGCCTCGTTCATCTGCACCCCTGATAGACAGCTGCTCGCCTTCTGAGAGGTTCACGCTCTTCACCTGAACACACAGGATGACACAAGTTTAAAAGTAAAGATGAGGAAAGTGTCTACTTCCAAGTTAAGTTTTGTCTTTTTTAATTCAGATATTGCAGTGGTAAATAAGACTTAATGGTACTCAGGTTGCGATTAAGAGATACTCTTAAGGGATGTTTGTTATTACCTCTCATTAATCTAAGATCGACAGAATCACCTATGCTGTGAGCTCGTTAAAAAACTTACTGAAAGAAAATAAACTCTGTGATACCAACTTTATAATCTGTGATTTTCTAGTTTTATACTGAAGTGAGTCAAACAGCTCAAACCAGTGTCATGCTAAACTTCAAGTCAAATTTTTTACACCACCATTCAAAACATTGTAATTTCCTGCCACCAAAAGCTTGATTGGGTCCAATCAGATGTCTGAGAGGACCACTCCATGTGTGGAAAAATCTGAGGAGCTGGGAGGAAAACAACTTGTTCATAGTTCTGCCTGTGCTGCGTTCACAGACCCACAAAAACCTCATAAGAGAGCGGAAACAATGATCACAAAGGAACACAAACAAAAAAACTAGAATTACCGCCTCATGATTGTGTGCCTCTGCAAACCAGACAAGTTGCAGTTAACAGTTTACATCCATGTCTGTGAAAACATGGATGCTTCACACACATCTTCTCTCCGGCAGCACAGATGAGCTATACAGTCAGCACAGGTTCAAGGTGATCACCCAAGATTAGTGTCACCAATTCATTATCTGACCACATGTCTCCCCTTCTGTTCCTGAGATGTGATGTAGTAGCCCGAAAGGTATTTTTGCAGAACATTATGATGTCACGGTGAAGTTGACCTTTGACCTTTTGGATTTAAAATGTCAGCACCTCATTATTTTATTCTGTTAGACATTTGTGTGAAATTTTGTCATAATTAGAGTATGGATTCTTGAGTTATGGCTGAAAACATGCTTTGTGAGGTCACAGTGACTTTGATCTTTGACTTTTGACCACCATATTCTAATCAGTTTATAACTGAGTCCAAGTGGATGTTTGTGCCAAATTTGAGGAATATCTCTCAAGGTGTTCCTGAGATATAACATAAGACAGATGCAAGGTCATGGTGACCTTAAGCTGTGACCACCAAATTCTACTCACTTCACCAGTGAGTCTAAGTAGACTTTTGTGCCAAATTTAAAGAAACTTCCCCAAGGTACTCTTGAGATACCTGGGTCATGAGAATAAAACAGACAAGGTCACAGTGACCTTGATCTTTGACTTTTGACCACCATATTCCAATCAATTTATTGCTGAGTCCAAGTGGATGTTTGTGCCTAATTTGAAGAATATCCCTCAAGGTGTTCCTAAGCTATCACATTCATAAGAATAAGACAGATGCAAGGTCATGGTGACCTTAAGTTGTGACCACCAAATTCTACTCAGTTCATCACTGAATCTAAGTGGATGTTTGTGCCAAATTTGAAGAAACTCCCTCAAGGTACTCTTGAGATACTGGGTTCACGAGAATATGACAGACGAGGTCACAGTGACCTTGATCTTTGACTTTTGACAATCATATTTTCATCAGGTTATCACTGAGTCCAAGTGGATGTTTGTGCCAAATTTGAAGAATATCTCTCAAGGTGTTCCTGAAATATCACGTTCACAAGAATAAGACAGACGCAAGGTCATGGTAACCTTAAGCTGTGACCACCAAATTCTACTCTGTCCATTACTGAGCCTAAGTGGACCTTTGTGCCAAATTTGAAGAAATTCCCTCAAGGTACTCTTGAGATACTGGGTTCACGAGAATACGACGGATGAGGTCACAGTGACCTTGATCTTTGACTTTTGACCACCGTATTCCAATCAGTTTGTCGCTGAGTCCAAGTGGATGTTTGTGCCAAATTTTAAGAATATCCCTCAAGGTGTTCCTAAGCTATCACATTCAAAAGTATAAGACAGATGCAAGGTCAAAGTGACCTTGACCTTTGACCAACAAATTCTAAGCAGTTCATCACTGAGTCCAAGTGGATGTCTGTGCCAAATTTGAAGAAACTTCCTAAAGGTACTCTGGAGATACCAGGTTCACGACAACAGTTTCATCTGCATTCATTTCGTCCATATTTGTGCATGTTCGTGGGGTCAATGTAGCGTAGTTCAAGCGAGTTACGACTGTAGGAGACGACAAAGACGTTTAAAAAATGTTGTAACGGAACAAATTGCTAATATTGTGAAAGACTTCTCCGTCCATACATTACAATGTATTCAATGGCCTTGCAGTCCACCACCTTCTACGACGCTGCCTCCGTTAAAAGGTAAATTATTATGACCTCATTGTCACCTCGTTTGTTGTGTCTATTAACTCCGCCTTCTAGTGCCATCGATTGGCTGTATCTATGCTATCATAAAGGACACATGGAAATATTAGGGTAGTGAGATTTATGTTTGAAACAGATGTATCTATATTTGTACGTAAAGGAGGTATAAATGAGACCATAAACATCTATGGCTTGCGTAGCTTGACAAGCTATTGCGTCCCGCCACACTTCCTTTGCCATACTGTGTTCACACACTTATGAACTTCATCATTCTTTACAAACCGTTTAAGTGTCTATATGTTGTTAGATTTATATAAATGTACATGTGCTGCGTCTGCAACAAATCAGCGCCTTTAACAGTTCCTGCAGGTTTCAGTAAACTATGGAGACAAATGCTCACAATAGAGGTAAAGCTTCATAAAAATGGATTGAATAAACAGCTTCATTTTCAGCTGTAACTTATTTTCGGTCTTAATCTTCTTGCTCAAATTCAGGAGCTAATGCTCCAGAGTCCATTGTTTGTAGCACAGAATCAGCTCTGTCATTGTCTCTGGGTTTCAATTTGCATCATGATGTTGCAAATTTCTCCAAGAGTGCAGCTGTTGTTCCAAAATGTGTTGATAGTTGTCAGACGTTGGAGGGAAACAGAATCCATTTTGTTATTTTGTTTGGTAATATATGAAATCTGAGCGCCGAACCAATAAAACTGTCAGCTGCAGTGAACCGAAATTACATTCTGTGTCTGTGTTTGTGTGCGTGGGCTTGTGTTGCTGTCTTTGTGAGGACCAATTTCAGGTTTAAACCTTATGAGTGAAGACATATCTGCATCGTGGGGATATTTCAGACTTTTTTAAAGCTAGAATTAGGTTTAGGTTAGGGTCAGGGTACTGCCTCATTACCACACAGACTTGTTTTGTGTCTGTATTTCCAACCCATTCTCATCCCAACTCGTCAAATACCACCACTTTATCAGTGGACTAAAGCATCAAAATATGATGCGCTAGGTGCCTTCCTGCATCAGTTTTGGACATTCACCAACAGCGTCTTGTTAAACGCACCATGTCTTTTCAAAATATGTTTCCAATTTACAATTTTTTACATTTATAATTTCTGATGGTTACATGTAGACAGTCTTTTTCAAAATAAACTTAAAAAAACACCTTGTTTTTACACTTATTTCCTCAAGTTTAGGCAAGAAAATCATGTGGTAAGGTTTCGGAAAAAACATCACGGTATGGCTTAAATAAGAATGGTTGTTACAAACCTAACGTAAAGTCACGTGACATACGTCATGTCAAATACGTACCAAACATAGTATCCTACATATACTAGCACACTATGTTGATTAACTCCTGGGTGAAAGTCCAGGGTTTGTTTGTTCAATATATCTCCCCTCCCTCCCACCCTTTACGAACTTTCTCGCTCTTAATACCATCGTAGCTGCTGGCGGCGTCAGAAATAGCTGCCGCTTGATGCATATCATATCGCCATAAAGAGTGTCTTGGTGCATCCGTGTCTGACGCTGTAATCACTGACAAAGCAGCAGTATTTGACGAGCTGGGAGTGCGAAGGGCTGGTATTACTATGTAGAATTTGAAGTACACCACCTAGTGTTTAATGCAAGGAAATGCATCTCTTTACGGATGGAAAGAAAATGCCACAGCAGAATTGGCAGGAAAGTTAATTTCAAATGTTTTTCACTGGCGAATCTTGTGGAAATACAGAGACAAAAATAGGACCAATGATGCATGGAGACAAATGAGTAAGAAGGTAGGCCTCTCAGGTGTGTAGCCAGTTTTGTTAAATATTTTTTAAAAGACGTATGAACCACTATGCACGCACTCTACATGTTACACAGCTAGCATTGACTGCTGTAACACTGGACTTTCTCAGATGTGGTATCAATAACGGTGTATCTTATCTTATCTTATCTCAAGGTTAGTGGTAGGTACTAGGGAATAAATTAAGTCAGCGACGGTCTTCATAAGTATAAAATGATGAACACAGTGTGTGTGCCTGTGATTGAGAGAAAAAGAGTGCTGTTTTGCCAGTGTTTGAAAATAAGATATTAAGTCTGCCGTTGCAGTAATGTTTTGAAGGTACTTCTGTTTTCTGAATGATTAAAAGTCCACTGTGTAAGATTTTGGTGGTGAGGACTGAAGACTACAACCAGCTGAAACTAAATTTCTTCAGCGTTCATTGTTCAGGAGGTTTTTACTGGGAGCCATATTATCCACAGAGGTCTCCTCCTCTCTAAAACGAAAAGACCAGGTGATTTAAACCAGTAACGAAAACTGAATAAAGCAATTTCAGGTTACAAATCAGTATTTCTCCAAAGAAGAGAAGCTCCCCTAACACCTGTTAATGTATGCTCACCTTTTTTCTCTGATAACTTAAGATTGAGACGTTCAGGAGGTTTTAAGCAGGAGCAGAATTTTCCACAGAGGTCTTTCCCTTTTCGAAACAAACAGACCAGGTGATTTAAACCAGTTAAAACACTGAATAAAGCAGTTTCAAGTCACAAATCAGTGTTCTCCCAATGCTGCTGGTTGCAGACGGGCTTTTAAATATGGTGGCTAATGCGAAAAAGTGAAAACACGAAATAAACCCCTCAATCTAAGGTAATAAAAACACAACAACTCTTATTTTCAGGTGCTTATACACTAAAGAAAACATACTTATTATATTATATTCCATTTCTGCCAATATATCCCCCTAAATCCTACACACTTAACCTTTAAGCATGTACATAGTTCTTTATTTGTTCCTTAATATAAATTAATGTCAGTGTTCATACAGTGGATATAATCATTTTTAAAAATATATTTTTTCATGTATTTTGATTGTAATTTTTTCTATTTATGACCTTTGCATTTGTTTTTTTCTTTGTTTTTCCTCTTAATATGTTTATTGTTATGCACTAAACCCTTATATTATATTACAACTATGTATATGTATAATATCTCATATTTTATATTATATATTGTACATACCATCTTATCTGTGTTGTACATATTGTATTGTTGTATATATGTATATTTCAAGCACAGTACTGGAGGACAAAAGTAGAGAAATGTTGAGTATGTGTCGAATCAAAAGCTTGAACCTACCACCGTGCACATATACAGACAGCAGCAGCTGCCACTAGGAGGCAGAGTTCCACCTGAGATCAGATCAGATCACAACACACTGATACAAACACACCTCACTGCAACATGATGTCCAGCATGATAACCAGCGACACAGCTAACAGTGAATGCGATGGCTTATCTGCAGTCTGTTTGTGTTTGCACTGCGTCGTGCTGTCGCTGTGTACCTGCAGCTCCACTCCGTAGCCGGTGTACACGGTCACAGTGTAGGTGCAGTGCAAGAAGGTGCCGTCGGGCAGAGGGGGGTCATCAGTGGAGTCGATGTATCCCTCTGGGTCTGAGAAATTCACCATGCAGTTCGACAAAGCTGGAGGAGAGAGCAGCAGAGCAGTTTATTTTGCACTGGCCTTTTTTTATTTTTAATATTTCTTTTTGTTCTCAACCCTGCCTTGTAATCCCTTTAATGTGAGCCTGACTGGAAACTCATTGGAAATCCCTGCTGTGTATAATTAATGACGGAAATTACAGGGATCAAAGCGGCTACACAGCAGACACAAGGAGGCACAGCGAGGCTGTTAACAGTGACTTGAAATAAATAATCACATTCTCCGCTCCTCTAAAGATTGATGTGAGATCAGTGATGGGTGAAGTGTTCAGATTCTGGTACTATCAGTAATTACACAGTATCACAATGTAAAAAGAAAACCTACATCAGCAGCAAAAGCCCTGCCTTCAATATGTTATTTAAGTACAGTGGTGGCATTTAATCAAGTACACTTATTCAAGTACTAAACTTAAAGCTGGGGTAGGCTGTTTCATGAGGGCAGCATTGGGAAAACAACTTCTGCAAAACCTCTTAGCTATGTTTTCAGGCTTTAGAAAATCTAGGCCATGACTGGAGACTCTGGCCAATCACAGGTCAGTTCAAAGAGAGGGTGTTCCTATTGGCTGTTCTACAAATGCAGATGCACGTGCATGTCCCTTCAGATGGTCAAAGCCTGATTCAATGGTGGAGAATACTGCAGAGAAAGTTGCTGTCCCAGCGTTGGCAACAACAACCCAACAAAATGAAGACAGACTGATCAAAAGGGGTTCTGACAATAAACAGAATAAAATGCTGCTAATATTTTAGCCTTCCGCTAACCGCAGTCAAGGACTCACGGCTGCAGCTTTAAGTTCATGTTTATGTCGCTAACATTAGCTAGAGCCTCAAATCACAGTATGTCCTCCGCTTCACTCCCCACCGCTACAGACCATCTCGCTGGGAGGACAGCCAGCAGCAGCTTCGAAGATGGACCCCCAGTCAGTAGCCACAGCAACCCAAATCCAGCCAGCGCAAACCCCAGCTCGGGAGAACCAGACAGCCAAAACTCCCCACTTGATTAGCAAACTTTCTGTTGCTGCTGTTACACAGGTTAGACCCTTTGCTGCCCCTGGCCATCAACCTGTTGTGACACCCGGCGCTGGAGTGTTTGTGCTGACTGAACTTGAGCCACCACAGCTATCAACCAAGCTGCTGCATGCTCTTCTTTCGGTGAAGCAGTCCACAGTGGCAGGGAGCAAGGAGAAGGGACGGCGGTATGGCTAGCAGCTAATTCCTGTCTCATTTGCGGCCTGATAAACAGAGAGAGTAAGAGCGAGGCAAAGAGGGGCTGAGTAGATGAGCTGGGTGCAACTTTACAATAAATCAGTGTATGGGGAGACACTTGCATATGCTTGTGGTCATCTGGTGGGAGGGGCTTAGGACTGAGAGGGAGAGCTGCAGGAGGAGGGAGGATTTTCAGATTCTGCTGTGTTGTTTTTGCCTTTTCCAGATTCCTGTCTACCCCAGCTTTAAGTACAAATTTGAGGTACTTTTTTTTTTGAGGTACAACCATTTTATGCCACTTCACACTTACACTCCACTGTATTTCAGAATTCAGTGTTTAAATTTAGCTCCACATCGAGCAGCTACAACAGTAAAATGCTGCATCATTCATAACAATCCAGTAATACAAGTAAAATGTTGACCTGATCATGGCGCTAGAGGAAAAGTTAGAGGAAAGGGATGAAGGTTCATCATGAATGCCTGAACTGAAGTTTGTGAAAATCAATGCAATAGTTGTTGGAGACCTTTCACACATAACCTCGCGATAGTGCTGAAGGGAAAAGTCATCAGAGGATCCCCAGAGTCGTTAGGGTTCATCATCTGGGCAACATGAGTATGTAGAAATTTTCATTGCAATCTGTCCAGTAGTTGAGATCTGAACTTTTGTTTGGTATACTCTTTGAATTTCTCCCAGCTATGTGGGATCAGTAGGACCTGATAAGTATAAAAACTAAATGTTGTCAATGATAATTAAGTCCCAATGTCCTAAAACGAGACGATAATAAAGTCCTAATGTCTTCAAATTTCGTAATTAACAGTGTGAATCAGAAATCAACAAGTTTCAACCATCAAATATGATCAGGTTTTGTCCACTTTTGTGTCAGGATCGGCTGCAAACAGACTTGGCAGAGATAGCTGCCATCTTGTTTTTACATGGATTAGTGTATTGTGCTCTTACTACCACTAGATGGCACAAAAAAGTGTCCACGAATGAGGACAACAGGTCTAAGTTAATAAGAATGAAGTATAAGGTAAAGTAAACCCAAAATGTGATGTCCTCATGTGAGGATACAGGGTCTCAGGATATTTTAGTCCATAGAGCATGGATAGAAAGTACAATATTAATGTCTGAAATGTAGTGGAGTATAAAGTATGAATTAGAAGTATTCAAGTAAAGCACAAGTACCTCAAAGCTGTACTTGATACAGCACATGAGTAAATATATCTCAATTACTTTGCACCAGTGTAAGCTGTTAGTATGCATATGTCAAACTAAACGATGACTACTTGTACCTGATGAAGGTGTCTCTGTCTCTGTCTCTGTGTCTGTGTCTCCTTCCAGCATCGTGCCCACAGTGGTGATCTCCTCCTGCTCAGGGGCATGTGTGTGTGTTTGTGTGCGAGGCAGCTGGGAGCGTGTGTCTGTGGGAAGAGGCTCAGTTGGACCGCTGCCTCGGCCTGACACTGCAGCTGATGGCGGGGGTTTTACCCTCCTCAGTAATCCCCCGCTTTGATGCTCCAGGGAATGACTTCCAGGGAGGGAGCCGACGCTGAGTCCTCTGCCCAGGAGAGGGAGCAGGTTCTGGGGCAGAGCCGAGGGCAGGATCTCCCCTTTCTGGGAGACAAGTCGTCCTTTTTGAGTCAGCACTGATTGTAGCAAACCTCCGGCCAATGAGCTTTTGGCTTTGGGGCTGCTTTCCTTTGTGCTCCCTGGTGTTGCCGCTGGAGGCTGGGTGGAGGGGGCGGCTGTGGGGACTTCTTTATCTGGGAAGAGTGGAAAAACAAGGGAGGAATCATTTCAAGCGACGAGACAAAAAAATCTTTGAAAATGCCCCAGGAGCACAACTCTGGGTGTTTCTGTCACTGTCCTGCTGCACTTATCAGGAGTGGGGTTATCTCGCCAGCACAGCCAGAGCCCAGTTGAGCTTACCTCCACTTTTCACACACACACAACATACCGAGAACACACACACACACACACACACACACACACACACACACACACACACACACACACTGGTGATGGTGTAGCAGAGAGACAGGGCAGTTAAGCATGACAGGAGCCGAGCGAAGAGGAGGGGGGAGAAACTACAGAAAAAAAGAAGAAATGCATAGACAGGCAAACCGCTCTGCCGTGCATGCTAAAATGCCATCTCCAGCAGCTTAGTTCAAAAACAGCACAGAGCAGCATTTACACACACACAACCCCCCCACACACACATACTTTGTGGTCCACCCTCACAACAACCAGCAGCCCAACACACACTGAAAAGCCCTCATGGTGCAGTCTCACTTTAATCTACATTAGAGTGTCATTTACGCACTGCTCGAGCAAAAAGGAAGTACTGCTGCTGCTGTCGTTTATATCACCAAGGAATTAAGTCAGGGGAAAATATCCTCTGTGAGTTGTCGACAGCACGAGCACTTTGTTCTCTTGTTCTGCTGTTTTTCATCTCCAGACAGAAAATAAATAGCCCCTTTTCCTTTTTAAATGTCTGGATATGTACCTGCATTACCGCTCAATGTGTCAAAACCGCCGTCATCAAGAAACTCATTTCAGCTCTCACAGCTTGCAATTATTTAGGCAGCCACTCAGCAGCAGATGTTGACACACACACACACACACACACACACACACACACACACAGAAAAACTTTTGCTCTTGATGTAGCTCTACAACTTTGATGTTCTGAATCATTTAAGTTTAATTTGACTGAAAATAACGCCACTTGACACTCGTAAACACGCAACATTTTTGATGAGCAGCCCAGTTTATGATTTAGCCTCACATATCAGCCGAAATTGTTTACAATATTCATAACTATGTTTTCATGAGTGTATAATCACCTGAAATTAAAAATGGTGTTTTTGTTACCTTCGAATGAGCCGTTTATATCTACATACGGAGCGGGTCCTCCTCCACAGCATCGGCCATTTTGTTTCTACAGTAGCCCAGAACAGTGTTGTGTCATACTGTTTCCATGTTGACGTGTTTCCCCATACCAAAGCCTGAACCAAACCATTAGCCCTAAACCTAACCACAAATATACATCCACAATTTTCCTTTAAACAAGTCTAATCCATTCACAATACGATTATACGTGATAGAAGTTATGAGAGCTAACTAACTTAACCTGAACAAGCGATTATCTAAGCTAGCACCTGTCGTGATGCAGCGTTTAATTAACAAAGGCAAACTGGAAAATACACAAAAGTAGGCCTGTTATTACGGTTAGAGTAACATGGCAGGATTCTCACTCTTAATCACTCACGCACACACATTGAAAAAGGAGAAGGAAAAAGGTGTTTATTCTCTGTGCTAAACTTAATTGTGGAAGTCTCACTGCTGAATTGTTGCCACTTGAAGCTTGTGCTGGCGATGCACGTGTCCGTGCGCTAATTGGCGAGCATCTCCTGAAGCGAGGGCGTGCTGAGGGCTTACTGAAGTGCAAATGCAATCACCAGAAGTAAAAAGCTAATGTTAGACTATAAATGAACTATACACTGACTTCAACATTAGCCCATTTATTTTATATAGGCCTATCTAACCAAAAACCCATTCAAAAAGATCCATTGACTCTGAGACGAGGGAACTGCAAGTGCTAAAATGCTAACTAATTTCCATGTTTTAGAACTCTTGCAGCACTCTGTTGTAGCAGTTTGTTAGCTGGCTAGTTAGCTAGCTGGCTAATTGAGGGAATCGCGAGTGCTAAAATGCAGACTCATTTCAGGGTTATAGGACTTATTCCTGTTGTGCTCTATTGTAGCAGTTTTTGTAGCAGTTCTTTTTAGCACTTGCGGTTCCCTCGATTAGCTAGCTAACTGACTAGCTTTTAAGCACTCGAGGGTCGAGTCAGCTAGCTAGCTAATCGAGGGAACCGCAAGTGCTAACAAGTTAACTTAGTTCCGGCTTTTTGGAATCATTCGTGCTGCGCTATTTTATAGCGGTTTGTTTGCTAGTTAGTTAGCTGGCTAACAAACTGGTGACAAACTAAATAGCTAGCTAGCCAACTAGTTTCTATGGTTAGGAGGCTATGCGGAGGAATACAGAATTGTGGATTTAGACGTCATTACTATGACATAAGGTATGGCAGCTATCAAATATCTGATTGTTTAAATTAAGCTGCAATCTATGTAAATTGTATCATTTAAAATTTCATTTTTCATTTTCACACAAAGAAAAGAACTGTTACACAGGCGTTACTGCCGATACCAGACTATATTGACATTGTTTACTAGAAATATTTCCTCAACCTCTCAACAATAGCCTCTGTAGTCTTATTTTAAAGGGTCCTGACCGAACTCATCACTGTTTTACGTATGGAACGTTGATCTGGTTACCACACAGTGTAAAAGACATTACAAAGACATTACCATTGGCTCCAGTGCATTTTTAAATGTATCTCTTTTAATTATCCTTTTTATTTTAAACAATACCTATATCCTCATACACACTTAGACATGTATTATATGTTTTTTAGTTCCCAAAACCAACAAAAAAATTGGCAGATATGCCTTTAAATTCAAAGCTCCCTCTGACAAAAAAAAAAAATCCCATTAAAATAAGATTTTATGATCCATTCTTAAAGCATCATGTTACAGTTTCTAATGACGATGTCTACCTGCCCTCCAGTATTGTGACGGATGCTGTACTACTATTAGCAGTATTAGTATTATTATCATTATATTGATGCACCAGGTGTTTTATGGTACATACATCTCTTTTATTACGTGCTGGTATTGTAGGCTTATGGGAATGATGTGGGGGTGGGTTGGTAAACGAGAGCCATGTACATGTACTGAATCGTGTCCACTGTAATATAGTATATTGTATGTTTTGTGTTCGCCCCTCTTGAAAATGAGATCGTTCATCTCAAGGGGCTATCCGCTAATAAACCTGTCTGATTTGACCTATCTGAGACTAAGATGCAGCCTCAGTGGAGCATTTTACAATTGAAAAATGAACTTCTCTGTCCTCTCTGGTGGACAAAGTAGCCTACAAGAGAGTACATATACTTCCCATGATGAGAAATAGTCCGGCATAACCCCCTGTAAAATGACAATTTGTCTTTTTTAGACTTTGAAACAAAGAAACAAGATCCAGCATGTTAATCTGGGAGCTTTAGAGGTTCTGGTACGCTGATTTTATTACCACACTTTATGGTAAACTTGATCCAAAAGGTCTACATGATTAAATAAAAGTATTACTTGATATTTTTACAGCATTAAAAAAACCCATACAGCTATCAGATTAATATATAAATCAAATCATCACAATCAAAGCCACAGGTGAGCAGAAAATTTCAAACAAACGTAGTGTGCACTCTGAAGTGAAAGTGAATAAATAATTTATAATAACTGACGTGGTCATTAGTCACAATGGCAGGTGTAGACTTTACATTTTTCAGTTCCTTACGGTATGAAGTGACATTTTACTCCACTCTGTCAGAACATATGTCTATAATGCTTCCTCCAGTCATAATCAAAGCTAATCAAAGTATCTTTAAGTAGCTGACTTTGATTAATATATCGCTTAGTTGTCTGCCATTAAATTAATCACCAACTTATTTGGTTATCGATTAATCAGTTTACTTTTGAGAAAAAGACATCTAAATTCTCTGATTTCAGCTTTTTAAATGTGAATATTTTCTGCATTCTTTCCTCCTCTGTGACAGTAAACTGAATATCTTTGGGTTGTGGACAAAACAAGACAATTGAGGACGTCATCTCGGGCTCTGAGAAACACTGATGGACATTTTACACTATTATCTGGCGTTTTGTAGACATAAAGGACATAGCAGGCGGGTACATACAAAAACAGTTTAAGGCAGGTGCTGGACAAAAAGAATAGCATAAAAAACATGAAAAAGTAGATGTACAACTTATGGAAGTGCCAATAAAGTGCATGTAAGGCAGCTACAGTGTGCGGACTCATGACATTTTCTCGAGCAAGCAGCTAATTGACTAATCCAGAAAATAACTGACGGATTAATCGACAATTAAAATACTTGTTAGTTGCAGCCATACTCATTAATGCTTGAAAATTGCTGCTTGAAGTTTGCAATGTAAAACAAACATTTCTAAATCAAGTGAACAGCAGCTTCATCACAGGATCAATGACAAACAGAGAGCTGAAGTCCTGCCCGCTTGTGAAGCTGCACCAATCGATATTTCTATCACAATGGATCCGAATCAATATGTGTGATGTGACAAGTGTCATTCAGTCACAAACCCACGGACAACTTTCACGCCTCGCTTAGATAATGTGATGCTTCAGTGGTCTGGAGTTAGACAGATCAATCTTTTTACTGTGTTTTAGTGTTAAATTCCTGTTTCTTTTGTTTCAGAGATGAAGTCAGAGTAACACAAAGACGGAACTTAGCACTAAAAAGAGTGTAACTTTGGGAGATACCCACTTGATTTGTGTAATTCAGACTGCTGAAGCTTCATTTATAAGTCTATTACACTTTCAAATACATTATTTCACCTCACTGTTTGAGGTGAAATAAATGGTGCGTGTAATACAGAATTTTTAACTCTGCATTCAAATGACTCTTGCCAAAATGCCGGAGTTCCAGTCCTTTCCCCCACATTCAAAGGGTAGTTTGGACAGAGTGTTCTGTGGATAATCCAGAGTAATTGCAACATTAATCAAGTCAAAACACATTGCTTTAGAGTTTTTTAAATATAACATTTAAATGCTGGAAGAGCTGCAGCTAAATGCCGTTCACCTTTGCTGTAATGGATCTCTAAGACGTGCATCT